GCCTTCTTCATACGGGGATATGAAGTCTAGTAAAACAACGTCTGCCTTAACATTCTACTGAAACAAGCAGAATTGAAAGAGTTCTACTTGTTGAGCAGAAATATAACATGGAGGGGCGCCTGGGTGGCTTAGTCGGTTGAGCGTCCGACTTTCGCTTGGGTCATGATCTCGCGGTTCGTGGGTTCGAGCCCCGCGTCGGGCTCTGTGCTGACTGCCAGCTCAGAGCCTGGAGCCTTTTTCAGAGTCTGTGTCTCCCTCTTTCTCTGACCCTCCCCGTCTCACGCTCTCTCTCTCTCTCTCTCCTAGAAATAAATAAAAAAACATTAAAAAATTAAAAAAAAAGAAATATAACATGGAATTAGGAATTCTATGAGAATTTTCGTGTCTTCCCCGATTACCCACAAAAGGAGAAAGTGAGTCAGAGGTTAGTATGGGAGAGAAAGCCAGGACAAAGAATGCTCAGGGAAGGGAGTTGTCAGAACTAAACTTGCTGGTTAAGAAAACTGAGCCAGAGGCACGAAGGAGGCATGTGAGCAGGTGAGGTCCTAACCTCTCAGGGATCACAGGGCAGGTAAATTTTTATGCTGAGGTCAGAATCAAAGAAGACGAGGGGCGCCTTGGGTGGCTCAGTTGGTTAGGTGTCCGACTTCAGCTCAGGTCATGATCTCACAGTCTGTGGGTTTGAGCCCCGGGTAGGGCTCTGTGCTGACAGCTAGCTCAGAGCCTGGAGTTTGCTTCGGATTCTGTGAATCCCTCTCTCTCTGACCCTCCCCTGCTTGCTCTCTGTCTCTGTCTCTCAAAATAAAATAAAGACATAAAAAAAAATTAAAAAAAAAAAAGAATCAAAGAAGACCAATGTGTAGATAAATTAGCAGCTGGAAAGGATCAGAGGAAATACCCAGGGGAGTTCTCAAGTCAATGACCTGTGCTCACAGAAGTTTACTGGCCAATACTGTCCTTTAGAAGTAGCTCAGGATGTCTTAAGCCTTCAGATGATTGACCCTGAAGTTCTGAAGAACGACTCAATCTGATTGTGGAGCTCCTACACTGGATGCTGATGGCGGGGGGCGGGGGGGGGGGAAGGGGGGGAGGGAGGTGTGTGGAATCCAAGGACACTGTCAGAGAATAGAAACAAATTTAGTTGTCTTGATTAAAAGCAGAATCTAGAAAGCCAAATCGGGGCGAGATAACATGGGCCATAATGCCACACTGAGGAATGAGAATTTAATTAGATAAGCATAGGTGTCTTTGCACATTTTTAAATATGGAAAGGACAGGATTGAAAATGATCTTTCATCTTTCTTGAGCCACAACCAACAGAATTTATACTAGTTCTAACTTTGAGATACCAAGCTTGTCATTTTGGTGCAAACAATGTTTATTTCCTTTCCTCCAAACCTTGTCTTTTTCTTTCAACTACAAAATGAGTGGCATTATGAAATAGAGAACAGATCATAGACAGCCAGAAGACATGAACCCAAGTCTACATATATAAGTCAACTTCTAAGGAACTTTAATTCAAGCGTGAACCTGCTATGAGCCAGGCCAAGCTGATGGCAGTGGATAGCAGAGACAGATCTTCTGTCTTAGGGGAGAAAGATAAGGAAAAACAAATATATATGTTGTCTAACATAGAAAAGTGACATAAAAAGTAAAGTAAGAGATTAGATGCTGACAGAGAATGTTTGAGGAAGTGACTATGTAACAAAAATTTAAATGAAATGGAGCAATCTGGTGGGAAGACAGATAAGAACATTCCAAACAGAAGGAAGAACAAGGGCAGAGTGTTTTCACCTAACTGGTATTCTCAGAAGAAGGCAGTGTGAACTAGAGGTCTTGAAAGGTCATAAGAATGACAAGAGATAAGGTGGGGGGTGAGGGGGAGGGAGAGTCATGATATAAAGTCTTGTTGGACATGGAAAAGATTTTGGATTTTTTTCTGAGGGAATGATTTTGAGAAAAGGAGTTAATATTTCAATTACTATTTTAAAAGATTATTCTGGCTATTCTGTAATGGACCTGATTTCAGGGGAGGGCAGGGAAGATGGCATAAGTGGAAGCAAAAAATCACCTTCCTCAGTAAACATGATGAAAATATCCCTGCTTGTAGTCCTATAATAGAACTTAATGGTTAGTCAAGTTAGGGGAGACTCCTGCATTTAATATTCCAAGGAGAATGTAAACACGGTGTTTAAAATGTATTTTTTTATGTATTTAAAAAGTGAGTTCAGTGCACTGTTAAATGTAAAAATTATCAGTGAAAATGATTGCAATTAGTTAATTCCCCAGCTTCCAACTTCTGTGGTTACCATCCTACTTACGAAAACATTGGGTCTCACCATCTTTGAAAGGGAAGGCAATTAGGTCATCTCTAGGGTCTTGTGGGGTTCTAAATTTCTGTGTTTCTGAGACTAAGTCAAGTAATAACAATACTGGAGATAGTTTTCTATATTAGCTCCTGTAAAATAGCTGGATGGAAAAATTCCTAGCATTTTAACATAGGTTCTTCACAAGAGCTCATTTGAACAGACCATGTATACTGTAGTACTTATAAACCTATTCAGGACTATATGCATATTGTGAAAAATACTCAGTTGGAAGGGAAAATAATGTAAAGCATATACTATGAATGCTAATAATCTTAAATAATGAGAACCCTATTTTTTATTTATCTATTTATTTTGAGAGAGAGAGAAAGAGTGCTGGGGAGGGGCAGAGAGAGAGGGGGAGAGAGAGAATTCCGCCCTGTCAGCACAGAGCCTGACACAGTGCTTGAACCCACGAACTGTGAGATCGTGACCTATGATGAAATCAAGAGTTGGTCGCTTAACTGACTGAGTGATGTAGGCGGCCCAGAACACCATTTTTAAAGAAACGACTTGATTTTGAGTGCAAGTTTTAAAATATATTCCTCTGTGTAAAATTATTCTTGTCCTATTTTTTAATTCATCATATTCAGTTTTCCATCAAGAGTATAAGTAGCATGTTGTTATTTTTGGGAACCACAGAGAGCATCCATCTGCCCATTTTTCTGCCCAGTAATAGGAGTGTGATTCAAGAATGTTAAAGGTGACAAAAAATTAAATGGTTTTCATTCTATGTTATAACTTAGAAGGTTTATAGTAGAGTTTCTCAACCTTAGCACTTAGAGGACATTTTGGGCCAGATAATTCTGTTACAGGAGGCTGTCCCTGTGCATTGTAGGATGTTTGGCAGCAAGCATCCCTAACTTCTACCTATTAGAAGCCAGTTGTGACAACCAAAAAATGTCTCCAGACTTTGACAAATGTCCCTTGGGGGGCAAAATTATCCTCAGTTGCTTTATAGTAGATGCCTCCTCACTTGTAGAGTAAGCTTTCTTTGTCTTTCTTTTAGGAGATTTAAAACTATTAAAATAACTTAAGTTGATTCTTAGGAAGCTTGTGCTCTTATATTATGGATCTTGGAGAGATTTATTATTTTTTCTTGCTTCCTCCAAAACAGAATTAGAGTGTTGATTACTTCCTCTCACATAAACTTAGGGGCAATTGTCCCCTCAAATTTAAAAACAATGAGTCTGTGTCAGTTTCAACCATGTCTTTTGTTAGTATTAGAATCAGATTTGCTCATCTAGATCCCTGGAGCAGTGCCCTGATTACCATAGAGGGGGCAAATGTTCAAAGCTGCCTTGTTCACACCCCACCCAGGCTTGGGCTTGACTTCACCTTTGTCCAATCTTGGTTAGCAAAGTGCCTCAGAGATGCTTATCTAGATAGTTCCTGATTAACTGGAAAAGCAATGAAGAGCCAAAATCATAACTATTAAAATGTGTGCATTTACTTCCCAAAACATTGTAGAATGATTTCATCAGAAATCACCTTTTCAGGGGCGCCTGGGTGGCTTAGTCAGTTAAGCGTCCGACTTTCGCTTAGGTCATGATCTCGCGGTTCGTGGGTTCGAACCCCGCGTCGGGCTCTGTGGTGACTGCCAGCTCAGAGCCTGGAACCTGTTTCAGAGTCTGTGTCTCCCTCTCTCTCTGACCCTCCCCTGCTCATGCTGTCTCTCTCTCTCTCCTAGAAATAAATAAAAATATTAAAAAAAAAAAAGAAATCACCTTTTCTTCCCATCAAAATCAGAGAACCACAATAATATTTTTGCACACTCTCATGGTCAAAATTAGGGCTTTAGAACATTGCAGGACGTGGTCAGGAAACCAAAACCTTGCCCAGAGACAGCAGACCCTGGTGATTCAAGTAGTTTGTATTATGTTAAGGGAGATCAAGAATCTAGGGAAATCCAAAGTGACAACTACCATACACCATCATCTTCTCCCTCGTTCTCCTGCCCCTCCCTGGGCCCCGCCCCCAACCCCAATTTTTAGTAATAGAAAAATCAGGAACAATAGTAAAGACCCACGAGAAAAAGGATCCCCTAAAGGTCCTGGCACTCAATAGATCTCAATAAAACGTCCAGCCAAGGCTGAATGAAGTGAGTTACATAGCAGCTACCGGAAGACTTTCTGATCGTCCAAGTTTCTCAGTTGACAAAATGGGGACAATGCTGAGTCACCGACAAAATGAAATACTTCTAAAATATTTAATTTCTTTGGAAAGAAAGCGCCATAACAGCACTCGCCTTCCCTACCTTCTACACGGTTGTCTACGAAGAAGGGGGAGGGGGTTGGAAACGGGTTGCGGATCCCGGATAGATAAACTTGAGATTACCCGAAAGATGCCCTAAAGATTTTTAGAGCCGCCCGAGGCCAGGCAGTGCTTCCGCTTTCTGCTGGCAGAGTGTGCAAGCTGTACTAAGGCCTGGTGCTGTGACCTCTCCGAGCGTGGGACAGGGGCTGGGGCTGGGGCTGGGGGTGGGCGGCGTGCCACCGACGGGGCTACCAAGGTCCCCCAGGGCACCCTGGCCAGCCCCGTCCCGGCAGCCCCCGGCAGCCCCTCCCCCGGCCTGGATCCCGCGGGGCCCCCAGGAGCGGCCTGCAGCCTCCCTAGGTGCTCAGCCCCGGGGCCATGGCCACTTTAAGGCGGGCCAGGGGCGCGAGCGCCCACAGCTGCGGGCCGCGGGAGCCATCAGCACCGGCCCCGCCCGAGCCGGCGGCCGGGACGCGGGCTCCTTCTGCCGCGAGGCCGTCGCGGGACCCGGCACGTGGGCACCCGGCCATGGCGGCCTCAATTGTGGGCCCGAAGCGCGGCCGAATCTCTGGCCAGGTAAGAGGCAGAGGGGGAGGCAGCGGAGGCAGCTGTGTTCAGCCCCCAGCTCGGGCCCGGGGGCCCCCTTGGCCGCACCAGGCACGTCTCACTCACTCGGGGGACGCGGGAGCAGGGGGCGCCAGGAGGGCCACCTCCAGGGGCGCGAGCCGGTGCCCGGGGGTGGGGGGGGACCCCCAGGGCGGGAGGCCGAGCTGAGCAGTTTCCCGCACGGCCGCCTCTGTGGCCCCACTCGGTCTAGCCGACCTTCAGGGCGGGGGGGGGGGTTCCCCAGGGCCGAAGCCTGAATGCGCTTCCGCCAGACTGTGAATGCCGACGACGTTGGTTTTGCTTTGAACATGGGGACGTTTATTTAACACAGGGGAGTTTATTTCGAGCATCCTGGTCTCTGCACAGCTTGGCATGCTTTTTTCAGCTTGCTTACGGGCACGGGGTCCAAAAAGTCCTCGCAAGTCCGTCCCCAGGCTTACTCACACCCAGACAGGCAGTGGTGCCTGGAAACCCAAGCCGTTGGCGGGAAAAGGCATCTGCGCTGTTCACGCGTCCTCCCACCAGCAGGGGACCCAAAGTCCCCTGGCCTCTTTTGAAGGCACCTGATTTATCTTCCCCTTAGCAGAGGCGCAGGATCACTGCCGTGACTGTTGTAGACAGGGAATGAAAGGTGATGATTAGCCTTCTAGAACGCAGGCATAAAGCGTCACCCACCCCCGAGAGCAAGGCAGGCTGGTGTTGCCTTTCCTACTTGACTATCTTGCTAGAGAAATAGGAGAGGCAAACCTCTTGGGCTGCCTGAAGTTTTTTTTTTTTTTTTTTTTGGCCCTTAGAATGTTCTGCATACTTAAATCTCCTCCTTGCTTAAGCACAGGCTTTCTGAAATTACCCCTCTGAAGTGGACCAGTTTAATAGGTTTTCTTAATTATTTCAAAATGGAGGCACCTCTTCTTTAAATAAAGTCAAAGGAAAAATAGTATTTTATGGTGCGGGATTAGGCAAAGCTGCACAAAATGGAACTCTGGGTAAAATATCTGATTATCTAGTAGTGCACCAATAATTACGGCTTCCTACCCTTAAGAAAGTCTGAAGTCCCAACTGAACCTTTTGTTTGCATCTGAAGAGCAGCTTGATCAGTTTCTCCCACTAGAGCTGCTTAAATCCCTGGGCTCTTGGGGAAACTCGAGGCCAACAATTGCCCCGCCGAGAGCATCGGCCCGTGCAGCTGCTGCTGATTGTCAGCACTGCTCCTGGTGATAAGAGTGACATAAATAACAACTCACTAAAATGTAGGAGTGATTTGCTTTAAGCACTTCAGCACCTGCTGTTACTAATTAAGGGTTTAGCCTGCCGCAGATTGCAAATGGAAATACAGTGCTTTAAACATTGTAGAGACTAGAGTGCTCTGCGTGGTACTGTGATTTAGAAATCAAACTGAGTGGATAAAGACCAGTGGTGACGGCGATGTCAAAATCTAAAAACTGCCCACACTTCAAAGATCTACACCAAGGTGTTAGTAATATTTATTCCCAAGTGGTGGAATGACACATGCTTTTTATTTCCTCGTTAGGCTTTAAAATTTTTTCCCCAGTCTTTCCAATGAATATGTGTTGCTTTTTTTTTTTTTTTAAATAAAAGGTGCAGTAAGCAATTCAAATAGAAAAAAAAATCCCACCAGATAAAGTCAAGCATCAGTTCAAGTTATGATATTCAGGGGAACATCTTGGATGTACTAGAAAAGGCAGTTTCCCAAAGCAGAATATACTGGAAAGTTTTGTTCATTTTCCTTTTTTATTATTCCTATCAGTGGATTCTTCTCATCACCTGTGTTCATAGTATTACTGCCAACAAGATATTTTTAGCTTAATGAATATTCAGATTTAAGTTGATTAGAAGCTATTCAGTTAATTCGAGTTACCTTGGGATAGTGGACTAGGGCAGTGTTCTAATTTGTCTGATTATTAACATTCCACGTGTGCTACGGCATTGATTTTGTAGGGCAGAGAAGGAAGCCTTTGGCAGGAGAGTAAGTCCTTTCTAGAGCTGCTTTTTTTTTAAAGTTTGTTTATTTTGAGGGGGGGGGAGGGGAGGAGGGGCAGAGAGAATCCCAGGCACTAGCATTCTCTCAATGCACAGCCTGATGTGGGGCTCGAACTCACCCAACCATGAGATCTTGACCTGAGCAGAAGTCGGATGCTTAACCGACTGAGCCACCCAGGCACCCCTCCTGAGCTGCTTTATTTCATGTTACTGTCTGAAGTGCCTTGCATCATGGCACAGAACTATGGACTCCTGTGCAAAACAGCCTGTTAGTGGTGCTGCACCTCCTCATCCCTTTCTGTATCTTTCCTATACCCTCTCAGATTTCTCCCCAGTACCTGTGTCTTGCTCTTCAGGGCTTACTCTTCTCCATAATACTAGCTGAGAGCTTCTGGGGAAATTGGGCAGTGAGCCTCAGCAGGAAATATTCGGTCAGAAGCATCAGAACTATTAGGAAAGGGTTTAAGTTAGCAGCTGGTTTCAGTTTTTCAAGGCTTACCTCTTCTTCTCTGTGAGCCCTGTGTCTCCTCTCTATGGCTTAAAGTAATGCAAACACCCATTTGATTTAAGGCTGTTTTCAGACACATTTTTCCCCTTCTACTTCCTCCCTTCCCCATCATATTGATTTGATGTTGTCTGTGCTCAGGTTTGATATTATTTGAGAATGCGTGGCAATAACCACCACCTACAAGGCATCGTACCAACATTTCTTCCTATAACAGTCTTGGGATTTAAGTATTACCAACTTCCAGATGAGGATCCCTAATATCTTACTCAGAGCAACTAATAAGTGGCCGAACTAAGCATCAGAGCCTGATCTATGTGCATTCAAAGCCCTCTTCCCACTGCATCCAGCTGTTTATAGAGAATCAGTAGTAGCTTTGGTAGAACTGAGACTCCTACACGATTCTTCCTGTGTTTCAAAGAATGAAAGCTATATTTAGTAGGGAAAAAGGATTGCTATAATGTCAGCTCCGTGAGGGCAGGACCTTGTTTGTTTGTTCACTTTGCGTTCCCAGGACGGCATCTGCCTTGTAGTAAGGGCTCAATAAACATCTGTGGAGAGAATAGATAGATATTAGTCAAACTTAAGCAGATGCAAAGTGGTGGGGGGTGTTAAAGGAAAGAGAAAACAAATCTTGGTAGAAAGTTTTACAAGTTATTCATAGCCCAGGACACCTTGGGTTTTATGTGTTATTTTAGTGTAATTATGAATAGCTAGCCCTTTCATTCTCACAAGTATCTCAGTTTGGAAGGTAAATTAAGTGATTAGTTTTGGACATTCCTAGGTTGTTTTAATTAACCAGATGAATTAAAAAACTAGAATTCTTTTATGACTACTTATCAATGAGCATTTCAATTCTTGGCATTTGGTTCACAAGGGAATATACGGATGGAAGCAATCCTGTGCCACCACGGAGCTGTATGAACAATTGCGTAACAAGCGGAAGCATCACAGTGGTTTTGAGTCCCACATTGCTCCTAAAGTGCTATTGGTAATAAAGGATGTTTATAAAATGAAAAGGAAACCCTTTAAAGGGTCCTGATAACTCTCTACTATAGAAATTCCAGATTTCAAAGCCCATTTGAAAGTGTTATGCTGTCTTATTAGATCATAGGGCATTTGAGGGCAATGGAAGGAAATCAGGCTGGGGACATGGATTGATATTAAGCTATTGAAAGCTTAATACCCTGTTTAAAAACAGGTGGGACATGCAAATCAGATTGACTCCTGATGATGAATGGAGTGCACATGTCAACTTCCTGGTCCAGACCCTGACCCAGAGCAGGAGATGCTTAAACATGTGCTGATACCTTCAGCAAGTAAATATCATGGGGGGGGGGGGGGGGGGGGGGGGGGAGGGGGGGGGGGGGAGGGGGTCAGGGGAAGGTGTTTGTGTGGGGAGCAGGTATTCCAAATTAGAGGTCCAAGAGTAACCTAACCAAATGTAATGCATAGTTCTTCATGGGATCTTGGTTTGAACAAAGCAGCTCCTCTCTGACCATTAAGAAAAAAAAATCCACAGGAAAACTTGAAATTTAGAAAGCAGATGGGATGAAATTGCCACTAGAAGAAAAGTAGAAAAGCCACAGCTTAAAAGACCTAAAGAAGAAAGGCAAAGGCAAAAACAATTCTTGTGGTAGCTCAGGCTGAATGTTAGAAGAAACTGATGAAAGTTGACCAGAGGGTGCTCACCTGGTGATGAATTAGTTTTTATGCAGAGCACCTGGGCCCGGTGGGCCTCTGGATTTCTTTACCCCTTGACTCTCCCAGCTCACACCTGCTTCATCCTAAAGACAATGAACTACATATGGCACCCGGGCTCCTGGTGTTGGTCATTTCCAGACCTTTCTAACTGACAAGGGGGCAGCTCTGCCCAGGAGGGAAATAAACTAATGTTGCTTGGCGTTCAGAGTTACGCCTGCCATTATTATTATTTTGACAATTAGCTGGTCCAGCCTCTGTTCTCTGCAGCTTTGCTTCCACTGTCCTGCTCACTTACACCCCAGTCAATTGTCCCCTTTAAAGGAAGCAGCCGCTGAGATTACTTCTGCACAGTGATTTAGTCCTTGATTAATGTTTATGTTCAGATAACCAAGGGTCTCGAGACATTAATAGAACTGGACACAAATGCAGCCACTAGACACAACTCTTCCAGAGACAAGTTATTAAGAGGATAGAAAAAAACTTTTAAAATTCCAATTTGTATTCTCAGTGAGGCTATCACATCCTAAAAATAGCAGGTTATGAAGAATTAACAAAAATGAAACATCTTAGAAGGGAGCAGTTCACATTAAATGAACTGAAATCATAACAATCTTTGGAAGGACTTAAGCCTGAGCTGGTGATATGAAAAATAAAGTTAAAGGACTCTCTGAGAGAAGTTGAGCCATGAAGGATCAACTGTGGAAGTCCTGCATCTAGGGGAAGATTGCCAAGGAGAGATGAAGACAGGAGGAAATAGAGA